AGCCTTTATGATAGGAAATCAGCCACAAATAAAGCCTTTTTGTTTCGTAAGTTGGTTAATTTAAAATATAAATAGGGCAGCCCTATTCCGGAACATCTGACTGAAATAAAGAGTATTGCTAACCAACTTGCTTCTATGAAAATTGTTTTTAATGATGAGTTGTAGGCTTTGATGCTACTTAGTTCTTTGCCCGAAAGTTGGGAGACTTTGGTTGTGACCGTCAGTAATTCGGCACCCGATGGAGTTGTCACAATGGGCCAAGTCACTAGTAACCTGTTGAATGAAGAAACTAGAAGAAAATCAGCGAGTTCCCTCGTATCACTCGGAAGCATTCGCTTGTGGAGGCCGAAGCAAACAAGGGGAGGAAGTAAGACTTCTCATGGTCGTGATCAAAAGCCGTGACAAATCAAAAGATGGTTCTTTTTCAAAGAAAAACATTGAGTTGCCATTATTGCCATGAGAAAGGGCACAAAGCGGGGAATGCCGAAAGCTCAAGAATAAGGAGAAAAGGTCATTACAAAGTAGTGGACAAGAAGCAAGAAGACACAACTGGCATTACTACCAATCGTGTGATCTCATGTCGTCGTTTGTGAAGATGATTGTATCAATTTTTGTGGGCCAAGAGAGCAATTGGGTGATTGATTCCGAGGTGCTTCTTTTTATGTGACTAGTACGGCGAGTTGAGATTTCTTCACTACCTACACTGAAGGAGATTATGGTTTTGTTCAAATGGGTAATGAAAGTTTGTCTAAGATTATTGGCATGGGTGATGTTTGCTTGGAAACAAATTTGGGCTGCAAGTTGTTGCTTAAAGATGTGAGGCATGTTCCCGACATTCGCCTCAATTTGATCTCTACTGGGAAGCTTGATGATGAAGGCTTCAACAACAAATTTGGTGATGGAATATGGAAGCTCACAAAGGGTTCCTTGGTGGTGGCTAAGTGTAAGAAGACTCATACACTTTATTCGATGCAAGGAAAAATTTGTAAAGGTGTTGTCAATGCACTTCTAGATGATACTTCTACTGAATTGTGGCACAAGCGGCTTGGCCATATGAGTGAAAATGGGCTGCAAGTTTTGTTCAAGAAAGACCTTCTAGCCGGTTTGAAAGGTATACATTTCAAAACTTGTGTTCATTGTTTGGCGGGTAAACAACATAGAGTTTCTTTTTATAAAAATGTTGCTTCTAGAAAAGAAAATGTTTTGGAGTTGATTCATTCAGATGTTTGTGGTCCTTTAAAAGTTAGAACACATAGTGGTGCACTTTATTTTGTTACTTTCATTAATGATTATTCAAGGAAAGTTTGGGCTTTTCTACTAAAAACTAAAGATCAAGTTCTAGAAGTATTTAAGCATTTTCAAGCCATGGTTAAAAGAGAAACAGGGCAGAAATTGAAGTGCATCCGATCAGACAATGGTGGTGAATACATTGGGCCATTTGATGAGTATTGTTGCAGCCAAGGCATTCGGCACCAAAAGACAATTAAGAAGATTCCTTAACAAAATGGAGTTGCCGAGAGGATGAACCGCACCATTATGGAAAGAACAAGATGTTTGTTTTCACAAGCTAAATTGCCAAAATCCTTTTGGGGTGAGGCATTGAAGACAGCGGTTGACATGATCAATTTGTCTCCTTCCTATCCTTTGAATGGTGATGTTCCAGAAAGAGTTTGGACCGGTAAAGATGTATCTTATGAGCACTTGAGAGTGTTTGGTTGCCGAGCTTTTGTTCACATTCCAAAAGATGAGAGGTCCAAGCTTGATAGCAAGTCAAGACAATGTATTTTTCTTGGCTATGGGCGTGATGAATTTGGGTATAGATTGTGGGATCCGGTCGACAAGAAAGTCATTCGAAGCCGTGATGTTGTGTTTCTTGAAGACCAAACAATTGAAGACTTTGGCAAAGGTAATCAACCGAAGCCAATAACTGGTGATCTCATTAACATGGATTTATCTCCTTCATCTTCAGTTGATGATGAAAACGGGGGAGATGTGCAGCCACCTATTGAAGAAGTGAAGGATGATGCTAATCCTAATGAAGTTAAGCCAGAAATTGAGGAAGAGCATCCAACTCAAGAACCGCCACCATAACTTGAGTTAAGAAAATCTACAAAGGACCGACAACCTTCAAGAAAGTATCCACCCAATGAATTTGTGTTGATTTCTGATCAAGGGAAGGCGGAGAGCTACCAAGAAGCATTTGAGCATGCAAAGAAAGATGATTGGAAAAAGGCAATGGAAGAGGAATTGAATTCCTTGCGTGAAAATCACACTTATGATTTAGTGAAGTTGCCTAAGGGGAGGAAAATTTTGAAAAATAAGTGGGTCTACAAATTGAAGAATGATGGCAAGAATCTGAGGTACAAAGCACGTCTTGTTGTGAAAGGCTTTGGGCAAAAGAATGTATTGACTTTGATGAAATTTTCTCGCCAGTTGTAAAGAAGTCTTCTATTCAGGTTGTACTTGGCATGGCCGCAAGTATGAACCTTGAAGTTGAGCCACTTAATGTGAAGACCGTATTTCTTCATGGTGATCTCGAAGAAGAAATTTATATGGAGCAACCGGAAGGTTTTGTGGAAAAAGGGAAAGATAAATTTATTTGCAAATTGAAGAAAAGTTTGTATGGCGTCAAGCAAGTGCCGCGACAATGGTATAAAAAATTTGACTCTTTCATGATGAATAATGATTTTTCTAAAACCACTTCGAATCATTGTGTGTTTGTGAAAAAAAATTTCGGATGGAAAATTTATTATTCTTTTGCTTTATGTTGATGACATGCTAATTGTGGGTCAAGATTCTACCATGATAAATAGGTTGAAATTGGAGTTGAGCAAGTCTTTTGCTATGAAAAATTTGGGACCAGCAAAGCAAATTCTTGGTATGAAAATTGTTCATGATCGCAAAGAGGGGCTAATTTGGTTGTCTCAAGAAAGTTACATTGAGAAAGTTCTTGAGAGGTTCAATATGGATAAAGCGAAGCTGGTTGGTTATCCACTTGCGGGTCACTTCAAGCTTAGTTCGAATCAATGTCCTACAAGTGAGAAAGACAAAGAAGAGATGTTGAAAGTTCCTTATGCTTCAACAGTTGGTTCTTTGATGTACGCCATGGTTTGTACATGGCCGGATATTGCTCACGTCGTTGGTGTGGTGAGTCGGTTTCTCTCTAATCCGGGTAAAGAACATTGGGCAGTGGTAAAATGGATTCTAAGGTATCTTTGAGGGACTTCGAAGGTGTGTTTGTGTTTTGGCGATGGTAAGCCGATGCTTGATGGGTTCACTGATTCTGACATGGCCGGTGATATTGATTCTAGGAAATCTACTTTGGGATATTTGATTACTTTTGCAGGGGGAGCTGTGGCATGGCAATCTAAATTACAAAAATGTGTTGCTCTCTCAACTACCGAAGCTGAATTTATTGCTATTACGGAAGCTTGCAAAAAAGAGTTATGGTTGAAGAAATTTTTGCAAGAGTTGGGTTTGAAACAAGAAAAGTATGTGCTTTATTGTGATAGTCAAAGTGCTATTCACTTGAGTAAAAATTCTGCTTTTCATTCGAGATCGAAACACATTGATGTGAGATACCACTGGATTCGTGATGTGTTAGATTCGAAATTGTTGCAACTCGAAAAGGTTCACACATATGATAATATTTTAGATATGTTGACAAAGACTTTGTCGAGGGACAAACATTTAAAGTGTCGAACTTTGGCAGGTATGGTTGATTTCTCCACCTAAGTCGGTAGGGGGAGAATTGTTGGGTATACCTCCTTATTGAAGTTGGAGACCCAATTGATTTGTTAAAAGAGGAGTTTAATTTGGTTTGGTATGAGTTATAATATATTTTCATATACTATATCTAATTTGTGGAAACTCAATCCAATTTGGTAACAACTAGATTCTGATGAAACAAATCCAAGATTTAACAATATATATATATATATATATATTGTTTTGTGGGTGTTCCAAAAAAAAATAAAAAAAGGTGCAGTAGCTGCAACTGGTTCGGTGGAACAGTGTGCCGTTGCTATAGAGCAATTAAACATTAATTTGGTGGAATCAAATTTTGGGTGCTTTGGTTTTTGGTTCTTGGAAACACCATCAGTGTGCTTGTTCGGCTGCTCTGTTTTGAAGATAGTTTGGTTCGTTATTTTGGGTCTTCTTCAATTTTGGTTCTGAAGATTTTGGTTCATCTATTTGGTGAGGTCTTTCCTCTTTGTTTATTTGTGATTATTTGGAATTCACCTAAGGGTGATTTTGTGAGACCATTAGTGTCTCATTTGTAATCGTTTGGAACTTATTTGGTTGATAGTGGAATCAGATTTCGATCCCGTGGACGTACCTCACATTGAGGGAACCACGTAAAAATTCTTATGTTGCCTTTGATTTAATTTTTCCGCATTGGTTTTTATTCCCATTGATTGATTTACTTGTGGGGAATCACATATTTTCCCTAACAAGAGCTTCTCTAACAGACTTCTGGTTCAGAAAATTCTCCATGTTTGCGAAGTCATAGCACAGGTCACCCTCGCATTTCTTTCTGATATCGTAGTACTGCAAATCATAGATGTAACAAATTCTCATTGTTGTAAGGGGAAAAAAATGTAGGATAAAACTGTTAAAGAGTGTGATATGTAACTTACATTAGCATCGCCAACGATGGACATGATCTTGTTAAATATGGCATTGCAAGCAGAATATCCAGACATGCAAGAGTTTCCTCTGTCGGCACCTAATGCAGGAATTCTACTAATTATACTAGAAATGTGAAGACACATACGGTACTTTGCGCAAGGGAGATAAAATTTCATCTGCAAGAACTGGTCAGGACTCTGTTTTGAACTGAAATTTCTCTGGGTTGGTCCAGAGAAATTCTCTGATTTGGATTGAAATTTCACGTTGGAGCTGCTGGCGAACCTTGGCTGTAATGGAAAGCTATTGAGGCCGTCAAGGCTGCTATAGAAGCTGCTAAACGAACAACACGTTCTAAAGATGAGGCCTATATGAGAAGATGTAAAGAACTGCAGAGATCTTTAAAAGCATTGGATGTGACTTCGAAGATGTGGAGACAGAGAGCAGAGATGGCAGAATCACTCTTGTTGAAGGAGAGACCACTTGGTGAAGTGGATGAAGATACAATATATGTTGTTAATGGTGGATGGATTGCCCGGAGAAAATTCAAATTTCTCTGGGTTCATTTTGACCAGTTTCTTTCGAGGCGAGTTATTGATGTAAGTTTGATTTCAATTTCAATTTTGATTATGAATTTTAAAGTTTTTTGGTTGATTGTTGGTTATTATAATTAAAAGCAGAGTGACAAGTGGTGGGCGATGCAATTGTTATCAGTGGCATGCTTGTCTTTAGCAGCGAAGATGGAGGAATACAGAGTACCATCACCCTCAGAGTTTCAATTGGAATGCAACTTTGAGAGCAAAGTTATCCAGAGAATGGAGCTTTTGGTATTGAATACATTGGAGTGGAGAATGAGTTCAGTCACTCCTTTTGCTTTCATTCATTACTTCATCAAAACCCTTGGGAACTATCACTCTCCACCAAGGAATGTGGTTTCTAGAACTGTACACCTCATTTTGGCTATAATGAGAGGTAAATTTTAGACAGAATTGCAAATCAATTGAAAGCCAAAAACACAAAAAAAAAAAAAAAAATTAAAATAGTAAGAATAAATCTATACACACATATTGTCATCTCTTGAACATGCTCCATAGTAGTCAATTTTCTCTGGCTTGGAAAGTCCAGAATTTATCAATTTTCTCTAGTTTGAAAGTTGGTTAAACTGAACCCAAAGAAATTTGAATTTTCTCTGGGTTGAACCTAGAGAAATTCTTTGGAAGTCCAGAATTTCTCTGGGCAAAATTTCTCTGGACCAATTTTCTCCGGACCAATTTTCTTTGGATCAACTTGAGGGACCTTAGATATTATGAAAATATTGAGTGTCCTTTATGCTGTAAAATCTTAATACTAGGGACCTTAAAAAAAATTTCCCCAAATTTTTTATCCGAACATAACCTAAAATATAGGGAAAATAAAATGGCTCAATCAGTTCACTCACAAGAAATAGAAGTGTCAAGTAGAAGTCTTTACACAAATCATAAGACATATATCACTTTTGAGCAATGTTTTAAAAATTGGATCGGTGAATGAACTGAAAAAGGGATCGAGTGGACGGGTCACCAGTTCAACTGTCAGGTTGAACCGAAATCGAACCGTGACGTAATAAATATATTAAAATTATATTTAAATAAAAATATAAGTAATAAAATTATAAATTAAAAATAAATTAAAAATATTAAATTATCTTAAATTTTAAAGTATACATATATATCTATATTGGACCATCTTAATTTATATTTCTCTTTGTTTTTAATATTTTATTAAAAATATTTAAATTTGAAAGAGAAAAAGAGATGTGATTTTAGTTGTGGTGTAAATCTTAGGTGGAGTTAGTAGATTTTGATTAGAATAGAGAATTAATTTGGTAATTTTTAGTAGTAAATATACATCAAAATTAGGCCTTATCTTGTTGGGTGTTCTAAATTTTGAACCTTTACGTAATAAGAATTTTTTTTTTTTTAAGTGAACATTGGGCGACATGGTAAATAGTCTAATAATTATGATTTTTTCTTAATTTTTTTATATTTATTGCATTTTTTATAATCAAATAGTTATGACTGAGATATTTTATCGACCTGACAAACCGTCCTCGGGTCGACAAGTTCGGCGGTTCAACAGCCAGTGTTCCTGGTTCTCTCTAGATAAGCCAGTTTTTGGCTTCAAACAGTTTAGAGGGTATATTCGAACTGGAACCCCGATCGGTCGACGGTTCAATCAGTTGAACCGGCCGATTTGGTCCAGTTTTCAAAACCATACTTTTGAGTAAAGCATCAACAATTATGGAGGTATATACCAAAAGTGAGTTACCGCTTCAGGTGTGAGAGTATTAGTGGAGAGTGATAGGCAGAGATAAATCATGATTTTTATAGCTATTTATTTATTTTTATAATCAAGTACTTGGACTAGTTTACGGGCATCTCGATTAATTTTGGACTTACGTAAAGTGTCCCTCCACGTGGATTGAGTGAATATCAAGCAAAGTCTGCAGGGTGGCCCCAAGAAGCGGATTGCTCCTAATAAGAGTTGAATCTGAGACTTAAAAGGGAGTATACTGCTAGGCCCCAAAGTTGCACCTATTAGGCCAACCTCTTAGGATTAGATTCTTATTGCTATTGTGTATCACTTGTCTGTGTATATATGTGTGTGTGCAACGTGAAAATATCTCAATAGTGAAAAACGAGATGTAACGCCCTCAAAAAAATACATAAAACCCATCACTTTAGACATGAATTGATATAAAAGAAACTAACCATTTCTATTCATCAGAGTAATTCTTACACTGTATTACATGTTAACAACAAAAGCAAATGCCCTATGAGCTTACAGCTTTCCAAGTCAACACTTGGTTACACCAAAGAAGAGTACTAACTCTATACAAAATAAGCCCTTGGCTTGATATACATGTAATACAAACAAAATAAACAAAAGGAGTCTTCAACTCTCATCATCATCCAAGCTATGTCTTTGGAGGTGGCATACTACCTGTACCTGAAAAAGGGTGAGCCAACGCCCAGTAGAGATATGCTAAACACAGTATGAGCAATAACTAAGACATTAACAATTGATAAATGTTCAATTTCTATAAATCAATTCATAACCCATTTCCATTTCATTTCAGTTTCCATTTCTTATCAATTTCACAATTTACATCAACGGCTCAGAACCTGGCCAACCACTTATATGAGACAATGACTCATATTAAACATTTCCCGTTTTTACCGTAGATAAACATACTAGTTGTATCAACATCTCAACAGATAAGCATACAAGCTGTATCCACATTTCAATAGATATGCATATTAGCTATATCCATACTTTCAAAGATAAGCATGTGAGCTATATCAACACTTCCAAAGATAAGCATATGAGCTATATCAATACATTATCTGACAAGCATATGAGCTGTATCAGTGGAGTCCATCCCTTATCTCCTCCCAAACAACATCCGGTTTAGAGGTCCATCCCCTACCTTCCCCTAAACCGTGGAGTACATCCCCTCTCTCCTCCCACACACACAACGTATATACACAAAGGTCATATACACAATCAATCAATACATAACGTTAATGTATTCTATCAACCGTCATACTCTATGACATATCTAATTGATTAGTTTTAGTTTGCCTAATCATCATGCATTGTCTACAACAATCAAAACTACCCTCCACCGATAGCCCAAGCAATTATTTCTAAACAGACAATAAAAGCTCCAACAGATAAAATATCAATGTTTTCAAAAGTAAGCGATTAATAAATCTAACTCCACTATTCAACCATATAATGAACCAATTTCATTATTTTCAACTCAATTCCATATAACCACAATTTTCCCAAATTAATCATACCAATTAATTTATACCACCAATTAGGGTTTTCTACCCCATTTCCCAATATTGACCCAATGGTCTATATTTCAACAACCAACAACAATATCATTATTTTAAAACTCGAAATACACATTCTTGAAATCAAAATAACAAAACCCTCTTTCAACATCTTGAAACCCTAAGTCCCAAAATTTCCCAACTTCAACACTTTATCAAAACAACCAAAAATCTATGTCAAAGACCATAAGAGTGAGTAGGAATCCTTACCTCAAATTCGGAGCTCAAGGGAAGAAGACGAAGAAACTCAACGTGCTCCAAAACTCAATATCCTCGGATCAAAACATAGCCCTCGACAATCAACCCAACCCTTACAAAGGCTGGAGGGAAGGGAAACACTCTACCTAGATCAAACCCTAGAGAGAAGGGAGTTTCTAGAGAGAGGGACTCTCAAAAAGTCTTTTTAGAAAGTAAGAGAGAGAGAGAGAGAATGTAAAAAGTGATTTTAAAATGCCCAGCTGCCAACTGATATACGACATTCCCGCTCGAGCGGAGAACACAACACTCGAGCGTCAAGAACAAAAAACTAGGTACGCTCGAGCGCAAGAAGACCCGCTCGAGCGTAGATTTTCCCCTCCTAAAACTTACACCAAAAAGTACTACCAGCTCGAGCGCCAGAATATCCGCTCGAGCGCCACCGCTCGAGCGCAAAGAAACCCGCTCAAGCGTGAAAAACATGCCTGCAGAAGTTCTGCAGAGCACCAAAATACTGGGTGCGCAATCTCCGCTCAAGCGCAAGAAGACCCGCTCGAGCAGACCTCCTAAAAACTGGGCAACAAAGAATTGAAACCAAAGCCCAATCAACCTGTAACAACTCTGCCCAATACATCCTAAAACTCAATCAAGCGGAATTAAAGGATGACAACAAGGTATACCACCATCAACATCACGGAACCGAGTCCAGAATACAACAGAATAGTAAAGGGACAACCGAGATCGCTATAACCTCCCCCCTTAAAGAATTTCGTCCCCGAAATTAAATACAAGTTTTGCAAAAACAAGATTTTCTCAATTCTCAACAATATTACAACATAATATTAAACAATTCGACCCATTACCGGTCGATCCCATCTCTTTTCAAGAGGCATAACACATTATTCATAACAACCTGCATTATCAACATGCATTCCTTTGAAATTTACCAATTTCCACTCATTTTCCACAATTCCATAATACATGCAACATTATCATCATGCTTGCATTTCCACAATACATTGAACATATGCAATGTTATAACAAATTTCCATTAACCAAAACATTCACAATGTTTTACAACTTAAGACACATAATTTTCTTAAAGTTCAACGATATTACAAAATTACCAATACATGGTTACACATCAACAAACAAGTCCGAATATTTCTCGCGGACTTCCAACTAACGTTCCCAAGTGGCTTCCTCCACTCCGTGATGTTTCCACAAAACCTTCACCAAAGGAATGGTCTTGCCACGCAGGACTTGATCCCACCTATCCAAGACCCGAACCGGTCTCTCCTCATACGAGGCATCCTCATCTGCCTCCAAGTCGGTCCAATCTAACACATGGGACGAATCCGGCTCATACTTCCGAAGCATACTCACATGAAACACGTCATGCACTCCGGACAACTGCCGCAGTAAAGCTAAACGATAAGCAACCTTGCCAACCCTCTCAAGGATCTCAAAGGGACCGATAAACCGAGGGGATAACTTCCCACTCTTCCCGAACCTCATCAAATCTCGCCTAGGTGATATTTTCAAAAAGACATGATCACCTTCCTCAAACGCCAATGGCCTCCTCCTTCGGCCGGCATAACTCTTTTGGCGACTCTGGGCTGTAACAAACATCTTACGGATAAGCTCAACTTTCTCCGTCGTCTCCCTAACCAACTCCGGACCCAACAAAGGTGCATCACCCACCTCGGTCCAACACACTAGAGACCTACACGGTCGGCCATACAAGGCCTCAAACGGTGCCATACCGATGCTAGACTGAAAACTGTTGTTGTAGGCAAACTCCACCAAAGGCAAGTGCCTCTCCCACGTCCCACTAAAGTCAAGGACACAACCTCGAAGCATATCTTCAAGGATTTGAATAGTACGCTTGGACTGCCCGTCAG